ATCTATTTTATGTTGTGACGTGGAGGACGAACAGGGCAAATCAGAATGTTGCATGAAAGTTTTAACGAGTCTGAAAATACTTGCATTAGCGTAACAATTCTGACCCGTTTGCCAGAATTTCACCTTTGAACTTTAACCATGGTAGCGAGGTAAATTATTGTAACGAATTTAACCTGGAGATCGTCCACCTCAGCCAGTTCGGTGCTCAGAAACGTCTTCATCATGTAAACTGCTCGTCACTGTCCGACTTGAATTAAGATTGTAATGTGTTGACAGATTTTATTAAAATTCTACACTATAAAATTTAATGAAAATATGTTTATCCGATGTCGATTTGCATTATACGGACGGACGGAGGAATGAAAACTATTTTTAATAGGCGACACGTTTTCGTCAAAATCGGACAACAAATACGTTCACTTTATATGAAGATCTGCATGAGTTTCGGCCCGCCGAAGAAAATTACAGAAAATTGGAATGAAAGTCGGAAGTTGTGAATATGTTTTAAATGAAGAACCAGGCCTACGTTGCCGAATTTTTAAACGGTGTTTTTTTATTTCGTTCTGTTCAAGAGGGACCTAAGTCAGTACAAATCACTTCTGTCTGAAGATCCTCATACCAACCACTAAAAATTAATAGTTGATACTTTCTTTTTGTAAATTGTGTATTTCTTGTAAGCGCTCTGCAAAAGACAAGTTTCTTTTGCTGTGGGCTCGTATTTTTCGCCACTATACCCAGCATGCCTGCCACGGTGGTCTAGCGGTTAGAACGCTGGCCTTGTAATCCTGGGGTCTCGGGTTCGAATCCCGGCGGTGCCCGAATTTATAACTTGTGTTGGGCAAGGCCGTGGTCTAGGCACGGGTTCGATTTCCGGCGGTGCCCGAATTTATAACTTGTTTTGGGCAAGGCCGTGGTCTAGGCAACACGGAGTTTTCCTCCGGGGGCTTCCCCGGTTTCTCCATTCACACACAGAAGAAGGCAATGGCAAACCACTTCTGGATCATCTGCCAAGAACGTATATGAACAGGTCTCAGTCCGAGAAAAGGATGGAAGGATTCTGTTCATATGGACCTGTCGTCAGCCAGAACACTAAATAATAATAAGATGGGGTGGTCTAGCGGTTAGAACGCTGGCCTTGTAATCCTGGGGTCTCGGGTTCGCATTTATAACTTGTGTTGGGCAAGGCCGTGATCTAGGCAACACGGAGTTTTTCTCCGTGGCATCCCAACAATTACTCCATTCACACACAGAAGAAGGCAATGGCAAACCACTTCTGGATCATCTGCCAAGAACGTATATGAACAGGTCCCAGTCCGAGAAAAGGACGGAAGGATCCTGTTCATATGGACCTGTCGTCAGACAGAACACTACAAATAAAAAAAAATAAAAATACCCAGCATATGTTCCAGCAAATGAACAGTGTCCGGCGACATTCGCTTGAAAGTGATCAGTGTCTCTTGGTCAGAGCTTTGGATGTTTTATCGTCACTGTCCTGAACAGATGTTCGAACCCAACCACTCCTCCTGTTGGTGTGTTGCTTCCCGTAGCACTAACGTCATTCTCCAATACCCTGTTCGCGACTGATTTGTCGTTGATGCCTGTGGACAAATCCTGTCTAATCACGTCCTTTGACGTCATCATTTCTAATCTTGTACAGGAATACCTCGGAGATATTGCGGTTTCGGTTCCATACCACCGCAATAAAGCGAGTCGTACGATTTTTTAGGTTTCCCAGTGCATATAAAAGTTATCTTTATACTATACTGTAGTCTATTAAGTGTGCAATAGAATTATGTATAAAAAAAACATTGCTAGAAGTACCAAAATGTGACACAGAGACACGAAGTGAGCACATGTTGTTGGAAAAATGGCGCCGATAGACTTGTTCGACGCAGGGTTACCACAAACCTTTAATTTGTAAAAAAACGCAATGACTTTGAAGCGCAATAAAACGAGGTATGACTGTATTGTCTTGACTACCGGCATAAGTCCTGCCTTGTGTCAGTTATGTGCATGAGGAATTAGGCACGTGGTTGGAATCGGAGATCCTTCTGACTACACTCGACGGAATCTTTCAAATAGTTGTCAAGAACTTCCCACGACTTTCTTGAAACTTGAGGGCTCATTACCGTGTTTACAAACAGCATGTCACTGGTCTCTGTCCTGTTCTAGATAAGTCCATAGGTCTCGAAACGCTGGCCTGAAACTTTGCTTCAGATTTTATGAAGTAATATCGGGAAGCCTTGTTCTGTCAGGAACACTGAACCGATTACTGCACCAAGCCTGTCTAGAACCTGATGGAGCTTCGGACGTATTGATTACTGTGCACATTCAGACGTAATCTGCGTGTTTAAACGCTCCGTTACGAAATGGAACTGACGTGTTGATCGTGATTTACGATCTACAATAAATCCAGTGCTTGCTGTGCTGGGTAGGGTACCATAGTAACGAACTTTCGAGGTTTAGGGCAGATGATCAAGTCCTGACGCATCGTTAATTCAGTAGGATGTTTTGAAAGTATCGCGTGTTTTCCAGTTCACATCCACGGAACAGCGCTGATAATATTCTGGTGCGTGAATTGTATTTGTCGTGAAATGCCGATTGCTTTATACAGAGTGATTCAAAATTCTCCATACATAGGATCACCTAAAGGAATGCATTCGAAATGCAATTACGCGCATAACACCAGATGTGTTAATGCGAGTACACCGTGAGTGGGAGACACGCATCCGTATGTATTTTTAATGGAATGGCAACCATCTTGAGCATGTTTTGTGAATAAAGTGACAGTTTGTTATAGATGTGACCATTTTTTAATTACGCGCATAACACCAGATGTGTTAATGCGAGTACACCGTGAGTGGGAGACACGCATCCGTATGTATTTTTAATGGAATGGCAACCATCTTGAGCATGTTTTGTGAATAAAGTGACAGTTTGTTATAGATGTGACCATTTTTTATATGTATGGAGACTTTTGAATCATCCTGTATAATTTCCATAATGTACGTACAGGCCTGTCAGAATTCGGAAAATCTCCATAGAACGATATGATGTGTTCAGTAAACCCTATTCGCTCGTGCCTGCTGTTATTTTCAAGCACGTTCAGCAGCAGAGTACAGGGTGTGTATAAATTGTGTTATCACGCAATTACGCCAGTTGGTAGGGTAGCTGTTACGAAAATTGCAGTGATAATGATTGAGATACTGGATGAAGACAACGAATTTCTGAGGAAAGTCATGCTGTGACGAGGCTAGATTCAAAATTACAGGGAAGATAAACAAATAGGGTGTACGTATCTAGAGATCAGAATACTCTCATACCACAATCGAGCCCATTAGGGACAGCCCCAAATTTAATGTGTGGCATGATCGTTCGATCGGACCCCCTTCCTTTGCTGAAGCGACTGTGACATCTGGAAAATTTGTTTATCCATAGTCACAAGAACTGCTACCTGCCATGTTCTTCCGGCAAAATGGGACATCTCCACACCGGAGCTTGAACGTGCCTGCATCTCTTAATCAGCATTTCCCACACCGATGGATTGGCTTTGATAGCTGTATCTCTTGGCCGGCCAGATCACCGGATATCACACCCGGTGATTTTCAGTTTTTCCTATGGGGTTACGTGAAAGACAGCTTGAATATCGTTTGTACATTGTACGTGTGACACATGGTTCATGTTGAATGCGTGTAATTTTTATGAAAAAACAAACAGACTTTTTCTCGCAGATGACGTTCAGACAGTTTGACTTTGTCTTTTCACAAAGGTTTTATTTACGAGTAAGTTATGAAGATAATTTATGCACACCCTGTATTTCTTGCTGTCACTAAGTTTTGTCACTCGTCCACTCATTCTTCGTAGTGACGTTGTTGCACACACAGTTTGAAATCTGTGTAACTTACTGTTTATATCCTCACCGTAGTGTATGTTACGTGACATTTCAGGTTAGGTTAGGTTAGTCAATTACCAAAGTCTATGTTTGCTTTAAGTAATTGTGTTCTGTAGTGTGACGATAGGAAATCGATCATGTGTCTCGTGCCAATTACATCGACAGTTGGCAGTTTCCATTCTGCGCCCTGCTCCGTCCTACCATCAAGTGACTCGTTACTGCAATCCCAAACACTGACCCTCACTTCAATTTCGGTTTTAATTCTTCTCGTACTTGTGTGACCAGGAATAAGTCTCTACCTTCGAGGAGAATGCTTCATCAGTTTTCACTTAAGTAACTTGCTTTCTAGCTGTGTACCACCCTGTCTGTCCGTCCGTCTACAAACGTGGTACAGATTACTGCCCCTCGTGTCATGGAAACATAGGCAATTTCGAATACGTGTTTTGACCGGCCAATGGTCGACCAAATTCGTCTGGAATTGTCTCGCTTGAGACTACGGTGCTCCAGATAGCCAAGCTCTTCGCCAAAAGACTGGACTCGTACGTATCACCAGGTGATGCCTCCACGGATACAGTTCCGTCTTTGTGTAGAATGGCATAACAGCGCCCGGAGGAGCGAATTGGTTATAAAAGCAAATTGTATTGAAAGTTGACAAAGGACAGTCAACTATTGGTGAAAGGTTGTGAGAGGGGAAAATGTTTTTAGACAGGAACTTAGGGATGTAAATTATAATTAAAATTTCGATATGACCTAGATGCTTGCCAGAGTAACCAACGGCGTGTACCACTCCTAAAATAAACTATGTAAATATTTTTATGTTGTTAAATAAAATGTAATGTTATTAAATATTTCTGACTAAACAGCCAAACAAAACTAATCCCAACCGAGTACATAGACAGATACAGAGGTGGTCGGTATATACCCCCCTTTTACTGAATTAAAGTTCATGAAAATCTGCCGTCTACAGCTAGACCCTGTCCTGAGCAGTTTCAGTCCAGTCAAAACCCTTGAACCTCGTCTTTTCAAGGCGAATTTCGTGTGTCCTCAACTACGCTTCCGTTTTCCCAGTGGTCTCTTGCCTTCGGGGTATGGGACTCTGCTGGTGACGACTTCCGATATCGCGGAACGATAATGTAACACGGTAATAGAGCAGTAATGGTACAAGTCCTACAAAGGAGCTGTGACATATAGCATCTCCAACTGATTCTTCTCAGTGGGGAGTCAGCAGTTCTGGTATATCACCGTGGGGAGCTGGCCGTATCAGCCAGCCTGAGGAAGCTGACAAGAGCTCACCTACACTATTTATAGAGGTAACTTCCTTGGGAGTCAGTTGTTTTGACGTCCACGACAGGGAACAGCTGGTGACAGATAACCAATGTCTAGAATGTCAGAAGGGAGCTTAAAAGCCAGGGAGAACCAAGGTAGTGCGAGGTGTTTATGGAAACCAGGGTACGTGACACTACCCAAGTCCGGAGAGGCCCTCACCAGGGTGCCTGTAATGCCCAGGTCCAAGGATGATACCCTAATTAAAGAGATCAGTGCTTTTTAAGGTCCTAAGGACCTGCAGGGTTGCCTTGATTGTGGCCACCAACAGAAGTTCTCTTTATAAACTTCCAATCTATTACCTATTCGCCATTCGTGATAACCCGACATTATATGCTCTATTAGTAGCAACTGGAACGTTGTCGTTAAATAAACTAAGAATCAGTAAAGTGTTAACTCACCGTTTATAAATGTGCCTCGTCAACTGACTAATTTTCTGTATACATTTATGCGAATTTCGTGTAAATAATTAATATAAATCAGTGGTTATCAGTAACTACATAACACTGGGTATTCCTGAAACACCCTGTATAAGGGTGCGGGGATTTGCTATTACTGGCGGAAGATACACGACGGAGTTTCTAAATTTAAACTGGACGCAGTGCAGTAGCGACTGGTGATGGGAGAGCTTCCGAACCAATCTGTGTTGAGGAAATGAAGCATTTCGCGACGCGGGGTCCAGAGCTCGGAACCTGCCCACTCCACCCCTCCCTGAGCCACGCACAGTACTAGTTCTGTTACCTGTTCAGAAATGATTGGGTGAAGACGTGTGATAATACGGAAGGACATGTAGCATGCAGAAGGGTAGAATAAATGAGCCTAAAATATTAGTTCGAGAACTACAAAGGAACAGTCCACAGTACGACTGAGCCTTGGACAGGAGAATAATGTTAAGGATAAGTAATGTAACCGTCCCTTTCCTTCCACCACACGTCACACTGCTTGTTTAGTATACTTGTAGTCGTAGCCTGGTTTGCTCATTTGGTTACAGCTTCTTGACGTGGGATGTGTAAAAATACAGAAAGGGATTGTTGATGATGGTGTGAGGTTGTCGGTGAGCACGAGTTTCCGACTCCCTGGGAATATACGGGAATTAGAAGGTGGAGCAGGTTTCTGCACAAATGGATAACAAAGTCTTTCTGTGTTGCACTGACCGACGACACTTTATTGTTCCTTAATACGCGCAGGAACATATATATATCCTAAGCACTATTCACGGAGGCAGCTGGATGGCTCGCTGTTCCTTTGTTCTTTCGTACGTTTGTTAAGAAAAACACCCCCGCTCAACCGAAGGACCAAAACTTTAGAGAGCGCCCCGCAACCACGGTTGCGCTTAAATACCCCTGCATTACGTAATTTTTCATTGAATTTGGCTTAACAGCTGCGACCTGATTCGTTCCTCCACAACGGTGGGAACGCGCCTATAAGCTGAGCTCAAAGTCAATTGGTCCATCGCAATGATGCGATGGTCGTAATGCAGTCATCACCCCGCATCTGGAAGGGATGCACACCATGTGTGGGGTGGCTTAAGTATTTTCTTTGTTGGTTTATGTTTGCCCTTTTTTGTTCTACTTCAGGCTCCCTTGGGACAGAAGGAAGGCCGAGGAGGGTGACCCGCAAGTGGCCATCTGGGCCACATTCCTTCAACTCAATGTGTTCCACAAAGCCAAAATTAAGCATTCAGTCTAATTTAGGTGAAGTAAGGCGTTCCAGAAATCATGTAATTACACCTTCTTCGTTTTTCTTATAAGCCAGATCAACATGCCGAAGCCTGGTTTACCTTTCATCTCAAGGCTCAGTCCGTTCGGGAATTGAACCACAGACCTGGACTGGCACAGTAATAAGTCGCTAGTTCGTCAACAGAATTACTGTTTGTGGGGGTGGGTAATATGAGTGAAAGAAGGAAAGACCACGTTTGGGCCTTAGGAGAGCGCCATCATGTGGTAACAAGTAAATTATTTTTAGAGAAACTTGGAACGAGTATACATTCAGTAAAACATAAAAATATGTAAAATGTTTTAGATTCAAGATTGAGAATTTTGTTATCTCATTAGAATAATTTAATTCTGTGTAAATATTATATTAAATATTGCTTAAATTACGCATAAAATTACAACAGTTATGGATGCGAATGTTGTAAATTAGTATAATATTGTTATTCTTACTACGTAACTTTTTGTATCAATCAAGGTTATTTCATGTTGATGGGGATATCTTGAAATGTAGATATTTTTTCTGTATTTGGCCCTTCGTGGTTGGTTTCTGTACATACGAAAGTTACGTGCAGTATGTTATGTTTTAGTTAACATGTATCTTTTATTCTTCTTATATTTAACTGATGTAATCCTGAAAGCTATTTATAGATTATTGTGTACTGAGCATAATTATGGTTATTGGGGGCTAAATTTGAGTTATTTGTATTGAAAGGTGCAGTAAAGACTATAATATGTATATATGTATGTATATAATACCGTAATTTACATTATTTATTTAGTGTTCTGTCTGACGACAGGTCCATATGAACAGGATCCTTCCATCCTTTTCTCGGACTGGGACCTGTTCATATACGTTCTTGGCAGATGATCCAGAAGTGGTTTGCCATTGCCTTCTTCTGTGTGTGAATGGAGTAATTGTTGGGATGCCACGGAGAATTATATTAATTATGTTATAATGGGCGTGGCGGTTGTATCTTGTGACGTATGCAAGTGGCGCATGACATGGAACTGCGAGGACTGATGTCGGTTAAGTAATTGGTTTTCATACGGCGGTGGTGTGCAGGGGCTGGAGAGGAGAGGTCATTCAGGTCGGAGAGAATGTCGTTCACATGTGCATTTTGTTTTATAACACTACACATCCGGAAACGTCCAAATTATATTCATATAGCTTCATTTTTTTGTGATGTGTGTGGTTTTTGTGGAATCTATTATTTGGCCTTACGTGTGTCCAGTGCTTAAGATATTGTACTTACGTAGAATTGTTTTTGTTTTCCGGATGCTTTGAATTTGATTCTTATAGCGCGTTTAAAAGGTTCTTACAAGTTTGACCTGCGTATCATGAAGGAATTACTTTACACCTAATTTGGTCATTACCTATGTTCTAATACTTATCTCTGATTGGTCATTGGTTCGTAGGTGGATTTTTACAGAATTGAATTATTTCGTTATTATGCGAGTTCCATCTGCTATTAGTTCTATGTGTGTTTTTCACTTCGTGTTCTTTTTCTTTATTACGTTCTGTATCTTCTGATGTAGTTAATACTTTTTTATACTTATGTTGTGTGATGGTAAGTCTCTATAAGGCTGGGGCACTATCTCAGGCGGGATCTATGGGAGATAGGAGTTGAAGGAGACTGGATTTTGTTGGGTCCGGTGGAAGGCTTTGGTTAATTCGGTGATGAACCTTCGTTTTTTTTCAGTGGTATTCAACCTTTTTTGTTCGCGTACCCCCAGATATAATTTCTCTTCAACTTTGTACCCCCAAAGTTGTTGGTGTATAATTCAAGTTATACATAGTATATAATCTACATCTAAAATAAATTAAATAAATGACATTAGTGATTATTCAGTATTTATCATAAAATAATATATATATTTTTTAAATTTCACGTGACCCCTAAGATGTCTTCACGTACCCCCGGGGGTACGCGTACCCCAGCTTGGAAACCACTGCCCCAAGCCATCTAGTTAGTTATGTTGTATGATGTGTCCCGTCAACAATGACGGGTAAATCTAAAGTAATGTACACAATGATAAATGTAATTTTAAGAGACCCAGAATCGCTTAACAGCATTACCATGGCAACGGTTATAATAACACGCGAATTCATAAATGCATTGTCACGTAGCATGTTTCGCAAAATCCCTATGTAGTAAATGGTCAGAAACCAACGAAGCTACCACCCGGTGTTCCAAAATAGGCGATGATATTATCATTATCAGGTTTGCATTAATGTATTCAAGTTTGTTTCTGGATATCTGTTTATTCGCTGTAGAAGGTAGGAGAGTATGAAGATTTCTGTCTTCTGGGTTGTTGCGCTGTGTAGTCTGGTCGATGTTTACCAACATTTCAGAGGTCATACTGCCTCCGTCATCAGGGCGAGCGCAACAACCCAGAAGACAGAAATCTTCATACTCCCCGCTGTGAGAACCTCAAGTCTTACATATGATATGTTGATTAGCTGTTGGTCTTTTACTCCAGTGACTTCTTCACTTGTCCTTCAAATCTATCAGCAATGTTGGTTCTGGCTACGAAAGAAACAAAGTTATGACATGGTGAATTAAGCGTTCCGGGTCTGAAATATAATACACGTAATAAAATTGAGGGCCGGTACATGACTTGGCGACCATGTTGCATTTTGAAAGCCCGTCTGCTGTGACATGAAACCAGCTTTATGAAAGTCCTGGAGCCTGACGTCATCAACTGTCACTCGTGACAGGAGAAGCGAAGTGACTCCGGATGTATTTTGCGAAAAGTACCATCCGTTGCGCTCCAATAGATCTCGTGACCGCCCTGGACACTTCGGTGCAGAATTACGGGAAGAGCTCATGCATATCACATGCGGTTTTCTTGTTGCAAGGGCTACTCAAGTACTGCAGTAACGGGCAGCTTCAAACATTTTCTAGAGCCAACATTGAAACAAAACACGTGCGTTTCTGCGTTTATTTTCCCCCCTCTTTAATTTAAGCCTAATCTTAAGACATGTGAACTGCATAATTACTCTTAACTGAACTGTTTTTTATGGATTTTGTAAAGTATGTAGACAATTTTATAAGGTTATAATTCGGTTTTGGAGCATTCCCGTAATTTATACGCTTACCACTTGGTGTTTTGCGCGCCACCTGGAAGGGGAACTACTGTTCTGTTGTATTATCCTGTCACAAAAGAGATGTCAGTCACCATATCTTGGCTGTGTAATTATTGAACCCTGTGTGGTTGAAGAATAACTAATTCCGGAAAAAGGTCGTCTTAGCGGCATGAACTTTGTATCAAATGCGGATAAAATATTGATAGCATAAACGGATTATGGCAATATAAACATTACATGTGCTATGAGGGAAATTTTTGTGCTGGAATTTACGTTAGGATGACTGAAGTTTGAGTGGTCAGTTGGCAGTCACTAATTAGCGTTGTATTTGAGTCGACTTAAGCCTGCCAGTCAGTAATCAGGCATCACCTGAGTATTTAGGCACCACGGTTAGTTGGTATTCCTACTTTATTTCCGTATAATCTGGTTAGAATTTTTGCCTTGAGACCGGCCATCCTGATGAAAAAGTTTTAGCTTTAGCGAGTAAATTAAAATAGTCCACGATCACTTCCACATGTTTTACATTTCGACATTTATATCCTGTCTTTTGACGTAACATGTTCTATGTAATTGATACATCATCAATAAATAACTAGCATTTTTACAATTAAGTGTTTTTTTTTGTATTTTAAAATTCCTATTACTTTTGAAGTGTGCGCAGGTGGAAATTGAATAGAGAGTCCAGACTGACACACACAGGCCTAGGCACATACACCTCAGTTGTTTTCTTTTAACTTTTAACTATATTGTTCAAGATACTTCCCTCCGGAATTTTTCCCTTGACATATCTCGAAAATGAAGCCTATTTAAACCTACACGAAAAGTAGTTACAATGCATTTTTCGGGCTATGTATAATTAGTCGTAGTGCCAAATTTGGTCTATTTTTTTGTGAAAACATATATTTTGGTACATTATTATCCTTTTACCACTACTTTTATACTTTCTTGTCTTATCTCATTTATTATTATTATTATTCCATCTATTCACCACTTTATAGGGTATTTACTTCTTTGTACCTGATATAAACCTTGCCCCAGAGGTAGAATTTGTAACTTGTGTTGGGCAAGGCCGTGGCCTAGGCAACACGGAGTTTTCCTCATTGGCATCCCAACAATTACTCCATTCACACCCAGAAGAAGGCAATGGCAAACCACTTCTGGATCATCTGCCAAGAACGTATATGAACAGGTCCCAGTCCGAGAAAAGGATGGAAGGATCCTGTTCATATGGACCTGTCTTCAGACAGAACACTACAAATAAAAAAAATAACATGTATTATATACATTTATTGTGAGGCATTTGTTTTACACCAGCGTCATTCGAAACAATTATTATCATGATCATCGTTGTCCCTGTTAGCACGAGTAACCCTTTCAGCGTCAAACTTTGCACCTGAAGATTTAAAAATTCTGGAAAGTGCTGGATGACGTGAACATCTGTATTTTTCTAAAATTCGCAAATTATTTTACCACCCCCCCGCTCAGGCAGTTCTGCACGCGTAACCCCAGCTGGCGACCAAATCGTGCTATCGTCTTTAAAGCTGCAACCTCCCTTCGCCACAGAGACAGCATTTGAACTATTGACCTGTCCGTCTTGAGAGACGACAGCTAGCAGTGTTTTGTGTTGCCAGCTGCAAGATGCAGTTTTATTTAGCAGCTGGCCGTCTATAGATCCTGACCTCACACGACTTTATTTTAGCTAGGTTGTATCTCGAAACGAAAATAACGCCTCTTTCTACCAATGATATACAATTCTGTGTGGGTGTGAATGTATCATCTGAGACATTTTTAGACGATTACCATTTTGTAGAACATTCCACATGTCTCCAAACCGATGCTGTTTTTATAATCGTACATGTCAGAGGTCAGCTTAGCTCAGTCTGTATGGCATTAGATTAAATTAGACCAGGACCGTTCGTCTCGCGTCCTATGCAATCCATAGGTCATCCTATTGTCTGACGTTCTGTTATCTGAGCTACTGACAGCGTCTCTGAAATAAACCACAGATAAATACGAAACTCTGTTGAAT